GAGGAGTCGCCCAAGCGCAGCGAGGACCATGACAAAGCACCAAGCGAAGGCAGGGGCGGGGCAGTGGTTCACAAGAGAAGCAGCTGCGACGGACAAGAAGCAAGAGCAAGTTTCCGCAGGGAAGCGTCATTAGTGTTCCAGCTCATCGTCATGTCGTGTAGAAAGGAGAACAGCAAGAAAGTCATCCCAAGGATTAGTATTTCAGCGACAGTTGCCGTCCCCTGCACCACTTAATGTCCCACTGTTGAATCCACTGTTGTTGCATGCTAGCCCACTGCACACGATCTTGAGCAAGTTGTTGCCATTTGGTACCAAAGGTAGTAGCAAGTTCTCTCTCGAGCCCACACGGATAAAAGGACCCTGGATGTCGAATACCTGTATGAATGGAGAGCGCTTGTTGGTCTCTCCACCAGTGCATACCTTTCCAAGTCAGGAGCTGAGACACAATCCCTGCCTGCGGATAAACAGTAAGACCGCTGTCTTGGGTCTGACGAGCCCAGTGTCCAGCAAGTGTGTACTGCAGTCGGCGCACTCTAGTGCTCCAGCGATCCAGGCCCTGTTGGGCAAGCCATGCACGGACAAACCTGGAGGTCCGCGCATTCCACTGTACCCAGTTTTCCCCACCCTGGCGCCCCAAGAGAAAAGCATCCCGGAGGATGTGAGTCTGCACTGTATTGAGAAGAGCCAAGTCATCGGGTGCCCAGAAAACCGCCCCAGCCACCCAAGTGAACGATGATTCAACCAGTGAGCGTATCAGCCGAATTTTACTCATCCAACCACCGCGCGATCGTAAGATAGGTCGACAGCTCGCATATGCAGCTCTGGCACGGGCAATCAAGTCACGGCTTTGCCGACTCGCATTGCCTTCGAAAGAGAAATCAAGGCCAAGGACCCGGATGGTGGCCGAGGCAGGAAGGACGGAGACAACCTCATCCCTAATAGTCATCATGCGAGGCCCAACGTAGTGCTCCGTGGCAATGACGGCTGTTTTACTCATGGCAAGTTCAAGCCCTACCCCCTCAAGCGCCAGGTTGATCAGGGAAATCTTGGTCGCCAAGAAGTCCGTGGACGTCTCGTAGAGGAAGATGTCATCCTGGTACTGGAGCATGTCAACATCGGAGTCCTCCAAGGGCTTTGGCAAGGAGGACCAAGATGGGTGTCGTCGAACATCCTGAAGTACATCCTCAAGAATGATCCCGAAGAGCTCGGCCGACTCTGGTGATCCTTGTTTGATCCCAATGTCACATTCAATACAAAGAGAATTCCCCCCAGGCACCGTGCCGTGCAAATAGTTGGGACGTAGTTGAAGGAGCAAAAAGCGAAGTTCGCGGCCAACCCCTTGCATTTGCAACCTCTGAACCAGGAAGGAGGCCACCCTGGAGCGAGATATTCGATCGAAGGCACCCTTCACGTCCAGTTTAGCTACCAAAAGTCCCAGTTTCCATTCCCTTGCAACATCACGGACACGCGTCATCGCCCCGACCAAATCAGCCGGTTGCCTCCCTGGCCCACAGCACGAGATATCAGAACCTCTCCGAAGTAAGGGGAAAGTACGTAACATCACAAGCCTCGTGGTCAGTTTCATAAGGGAGCTGGACATAGCAATTGGTCGCAAGTCACCCGGCGAGGCCGGCTCAACGACTTTAGGAAGCAGCGCAAGAAAAGCGTCATACCAGTTCGCATTAGGGTTTAGGGTTTAGGGTTTAGGGTATAGTAGTAGGATCCCTGACATAAGGACCCGCCATTTAAGGCATCCCAGATCCCAAAACCTTAAACCCTCCCCCTCAGTCCCCCTCCCTCTACTGTGGCTTCAGGAAGGTCTAGTTTAAGGGTTGGCCTTCCCTTTGTGAAGGATTGAATCTTTCTCCTCCCTTCGCAGATCTCATCCATGAGAGAGCCGGGCTGCACGAGGGGTCCAGTTTCAGCACTCCGCAATACTACGGTTCCATACCAAAGAACACCGAAGGAGACCCTGCTAGTGTGCAGCAAGCCCATCTTCTTTGTTCAGCCGTTTCGGCTGGCAGGATTTCACAACTTGTTCGCAGCTCGGTGGACCGGGTCACAGGCTGAATTAGCAGCCGGATTAGGGTTGGGAGAGTAGGGCCTTTTAGGCTTTGGGGTGCTTAGGGTTCAGAGTTCAGGGTTTTGAGAGTTTCAGAAGTCTAAGGGCGCCGTAGTTTGCGTGAGACTGAGATCGCAAAATAAAGGGTCACACTTCGGTCAAAAGCTTCAGCCTCAGGGCCTTCCCTACGCCTGGCGGTGACCCCCTTCCCTAAGGCTCCATGTGCCCATATGGTATATACTTAGGCCTTAAAGTACCTATATAGGGACTCCTTTAAGGCTTCAGTATCTACTATTATGGTACATGGAGCCTTTGTGGTATATGCTTAGGCCTTGAAGTACCTATACAGGGACCCCTTTAAGGCTTAAGTATCTACTGTTATGGTACATGGAGCCTTTGTGGTATGTATATATATATATATATATATATGTATATATATATATATATACACTTAGGCCTTAAAGTACCTATATAGGGACCCCTTTAAGGCCTAAGCATCTACTATTATAGTACATGGAGCCTTTGGGCTCTTCATCCCCGTCAACGCCCCGAAACCCGAACCTGTGAGCTTATGCCCTGACTGATTCATATAGGGGCCTAAATCACTAGAATAGAGGTTCCTTTAAAAGTGCTTCCTTTATAGGGGTCTATAAGGGATCTATAGTAGGGTTCTATGATATAGGGGCCTAAATAATCAGAATAGGGTTTTGGGGGCCCAGTATACTATAGTTATTAAGAAGGTACCCTGCCAAATAGCATGGGTATTTATCTAGGCCCCTATATTACTTACTGCCACCGATGCTTACCAACCTGTCGCCCAAGCCTCGCAAAACGGGAGGTCACGACTCATTCATTGCACGAAATTTCCCCTAAACCCTAAACCCTAAATATCCCTTTGCATACCAGGTATCCGGAGACACAAAATCATCCTCCAGTCCCTTTTTGCTCTATATATGATTCTTCCTCGACTCACTGACTTACGGTCGCATCCTTGCTGCTTTCCAAGCCATGAAATCCCAATTTCTGGGACATCCTCCGCAGGTTCCGTGCTCCACAACTCGAAACGTCACCACAATCAGGGCAACTATAGCCCAAAGGGCCCAAGTAATCCTGCATATACTTTTGCGGCCCATATACCTACCATATTGGGGCCTTAATAATTGGAATAGGGTTTTGGGGCTCCGTATTACAATTATAGTATCATGTACCCCAAACCCTGTTCTAATTTTCAAGGCCCCTACATTGCTTGGCGTAAGGATTGCTACAAGGGTTTGGGGGTTTAAGGCTTTGGGGTTTAGCATTTGCTGGGTTGAAAGAGCGGCGAGGCTTCTTTCATAGGGCTTGTAGGGGTTTCAGGGGTTTGGGGTTTAGAGGTTTGGGGTTTAGAGGTTTAGGGATGAGGGATTTAGGGGTTTGGGGGTTTGGGCCCCTGGATTTCCTGAAGCTCGGGTAGGAAGTTCAGGGCCTCTTGGATTTATGCACTTTACGAGCTTACTGGGCCGCTGTAGCGCTGTCAGGGTTAAGTTAGCTTTGGGTTTCGTGGCTGTGTGCGTTTCGGGTTTGGGGCTTGAAGTTTTAGGGTGTTCGAAGATCTGGGTCCCTTATAGATCCCTTATAGACCCCTTATAGTAGCCCTTTTAGACCCCTTTACAGGAACCCTAATCATTATAGTTCCAGGGGTTCCCTAAACCCTATAAACCCTAAACCCCAAAACCCCAATTAGGGGGGTTTGGGGTTTCGGGTTTGGGGGAGATTAGGGTTTATAGAGTCTCGGGTTTAATGAAACTAAAGGGAACCCCAGAAAGTTGGAATATGGATTAATGGTAGGATGCCCTATAATTTACCTTAAAGGGGTTACGATAATTTATATTCCAACTTTTTGGCTTCTACTGTAATGCAGTAGACTTCTCAGCTCTCAGCGTCCTATTCCGGTCAAGAGCTGGTTTCCTAAGGTTCCCTGTGCCCATATGGTATATCTTATAGACTTAGGCCTCACAAGTAGTGCCTATATAGGGGTACATGGACCCTCAAAGTTGTGAGCCCACGGTAACCCGGCTGGATGCTCTCACTGGTGGTGGCGGGTCTTTTCCGTGTCGGTTTGTCGCAAGGAGCCCTTACTCATGTTTCAGAAAACCTCATCGTAACTGCCATCGAGGTGTCGTCGTCGTTGTAGTTGTAATGGTAGCGGTAGTGATAATGTTAGTGGTACAAGTAGTGGTCGTGGTGGTGCACGAGGACGAGGTCGTCATCGGTTTTATTCTTCTTTGCTACTGCTACCAGAACAAATGCCTTGTACCGCGGCAGCAACGATGACGACAGCCACCGCTGCCATTCCGAACAGACATGAAACAGGTACCGGGGACTGTCAACCAGTGAAAAAGCAGTCGGAGACTAAAACTCACACCTACCTACACCTGGCACACCGAATCGGAATACATAACCTCAACTTTGATCGTTTGGCAGAACCGACAAGGTTTGACTGCGATGCTCCACCGATGGTACACTGGAAGCATCAGTGTCGTCAAGCTGGAACTGGGGCCACTTGTGGACCAGAAACGTTGCTTGCTTGGGTAGCTACAACTTCGCTGTGAGGCTTGCAGTGGCGGGGCGGAGAATGTTTGACCATGGGGCTTAGGGTTTAGGATTCTCCCGTCCCAACATGAGCTTCCACATGTCCCTGACAACATATTCCATACTTTCGGCTTGGTGCGCAGATCCGTGGTCTGTGTTCTTTTAAGGCCAGTCTCCAGACCTCTTCTAAGTACAATCCATGAAGCAGGTTGGCTAAAGGGAGCAACTGTTTGGCAATTGGAAGTTAGGCCATTTGTACCCGCCTTTGCACGCCATCTCCATACCATGCTCTCTCTCTCTCTCTCTGTCCCTCTACCTCTCAGTCTCGCCGTCAATACAGCCTTTCCGACACGATGTTCGTGCCCCCTCACTCCGCCTCCTCACCCAGCCGAGTCTTCAGCACCTGTTGTCTTGGCTTCTGCTTCTCCGTGCAGGGTTGAAGGTTCAGGGCAGCTTGTGGTTGCGTGTGTGGTGGTCGGATCCCTGTGGGGCTAGGTCGTAAGACTCCCGACAACAGTAGAATCTGGCGCAGAACTTCGCGTCATGAACAGCATCGTTTCGGGGTTGCTGACGCCAAGGTCATCATCAATGTAACAAAGAACGTTACTGCTCATAGCTAACACTGCAAAAACTACGGACTGCCCTTTCTTCAGCTCATGGCGACACATGCTCCTGAGTTCGATCCTGCCGACATATGGACGGGACGTCCTGGCAGGCTTTAGAGGTTCATGGTTCAGGGTTTAGGCCACGGGACCCATGCACAACGACAACGCCGGACAAGAACTCCAAGAAGACTCGCACAAAGCGACACAAAAACAAATCCACAACTCTAACCAAACCCTACCATGGTAAATCTCCAGCCCCTTAGTTAAGGGATATTCATTAAATCATACTATAAGGGTCCTACTATAATTTAAGGTATATTCCTTTTTTAAGGGATATTGGAATCTCTGGGAGTATCAACCAGGACCTAAATCCTTTTAGGATACCACATCGGCGAAACCAAAGCCTTAATACCATGAGCCCTAAACCATGTATCATCTGATACCCCAAGACCCGGAGCCCTACCTAGAGTAACCAAGGTGCCTTGAACAAGCCGGTAGACGTGCCGTTTGTCGGGCCACATACCCTTTTTGCAAGGTACAAAGCTACACTGGTTACTCTCACTGGCCCAAAACCCAAGGAAATAAAAGTTGCACTTTCAGAATCCACTACCTTATAAGAACCCCAAGACTTGAACAGTTGAGTTTACATTAAAAAAAACTCCTTGGAAGGCCCTACGACCCCGAAACCGACGGAAGCACCACCTCGCGACCCCAACCCTAAACCCTCAACCCTTCCCCAAAGGGTCCAAGGTACCTATGTAGTAGAATGCAGGGTTTCTATATCAGGTTATTATGGTTTGGGGAAAGTTGGGAAAGTTATCCCCATGACGGTACCTGGCATCCTCTAATAGCGTTTAGGGTTTTGGGCCCTAAACCCTAAACCGACCCTTTGGGTTCTGACAGAAGGACCACCTCGAGCTGGCCCAGGTGACGGCATGCAGTTTCTACCAGCCTCGGCTTTTCGGGGCTTTGGGGTTCAGGGCTTTAGGGCTTAGGGTTTTAGGGTTTTTTGCGGATATGGGTGTTTTTTGGGGTTTAGGGCTTTAGGGTTTTTCGGGGGAGTTGTTCTTTTTTTGAGGGGTGGTCTTAGAGCTTTTGGGGTTAGGGGTTGCAGGGGTTAGGGTTTTAGGGGTTTTGGATTTTTTTGGTGGTTTGGGGTTTAGGGTTTAAGGGACTATAATACGGATTTCGGGGTTAAGGGTTTTGATGAATATCTGGTTTATAGGCTTTAGGGTGTTTCTTGAGAGTTCTGGGATTGTTTAACTGGCCTTTGCAGGCATTCACCGAGTTGTTACAGGGTTTATACGTGCTGTAAAGATGTCACTACATGTTCGTAGTCTTCTCTCAATTTGCTGGATTGTTTCTTACACTTAGGACTAACAGATATTGAGGATGCTCTATTGAAGCAAAATGCTTGGCCCATCATTTCCCCCAAATTTGGAGTGTCGGTTTGGGAATATGGGCTGAGACTCTTGAAGGAGTTTAGCTTTGGGGCTGGAGGGATGTGGTGCAGATTTGTGTACATGCTTGCGTCTAGGCTGGCAAGTGGCATCCACCCTAAACCTTAAACCCTAAACCACTAAACCCTAAAACCCTAAACCGATCTGATTCTACGGCCTTTCAGGATTCCCGGATCGGATATTCTCCTGATTGCTAACCCCTTGAACCTCAGGAGCCCGGAGACTCCAATATCCTTCAATTACGGAATTTACCTTAAGTCATATAAGGGATCCTACTAAATTTAAGGTATATTCCTTAATTAAGGGGTATTGGAGTCTCTGGGAACTAAACAAACCCCCGAAGCACAGGTCAGAAGGCTGGAATCCCACCTCCTAAGCCCCCATGTCCAGAAGATTGAATCCGAAGACGAGATGGGGGTTTCCGAAAATAGGGGACCCTTATTTTGGGGTCCTTATAACAAGGCTCCTATTATTTAGGGTACTGTATTAGGGTCCCCCCCCCCCATTTTTCGGAAACTCCAGATCTAAGGAAGCACCCCAAAAAAAACAAACGTAATCCGAGGAACGCATCGAAGAGGTCTTCCCCGTCGTCCTGAGAAGATTGTGACCGGTTCTCACCTAAACCCTAAACCCTAAACCTTAACCTTGATGCGGCTTTCATGCTTAGGGTTTAGGGTTTAGGGTAACACGAATCAACATATCTGTTTAATCGAGCTGGTAGAGAGACAGTCAAACGGAAATGCAACGGCATAATAACTGACAGCAGAAGAAGCGTATGTTTAGCCACCTCTCGAAAGGTTCGAGCTGGCTATCACCCTGCATCAGGGGTCTCTACTACAAAAGGGTTGCTATTGGGAGGTCTGGGGCTATTGAAAAATCCGAAGTCTCGTGAAGCATCAAGCTTGCCTGGGCCGTTGTTTAAGTCCCCAGATCCCTAAACCCCTAAACCCTAAACCCCTAAACCCTAAACACCTAAACCCCCAAACCCCTAAACCCCTAAACCCTAAACACAGAAACTGGTAACTAAGGCCTTGATCAGAGATAGCGACCCCGACCCAAACCCACGCTCCAACGCTCAAGCCGAACGCTTCCGAAGGCGTCCTCCTGCTTGATGGACCGGTAGGTCTCTTGCAGAAGAACCCATATCCTGAGGTCGGCAAGCTTGAGACTGATATTCTAGGGGCCGTAGTAGTTATATAGAATAGGGTTTTGGAGCCCATGATACTATATGTAAATATAATAAGGAGCCCCCAAAATGGTATAGGTTCTTATTCAGGCCCCTATATTAGTATTAGAGCTTCGGACCCCGGGCTGCGCAAAAGCCGAGCAGCAGAAATCAGCACCGGCAGGGTATAAGTTATTAGGGTTAACCAAAAGGGCTCTTTAAGGGATCTATAGAGTTTCTTAAAGGGATCTATGGGGTTTGGGGTTTAGGGATTACTTAAAGGATCATGGGACTTAATAACTAGGGTTATAATTAGGGTAACTATACTTATAACCACTTATAACCCCAATTAAGGTACTTATAAGCTTACTTACTAAGTCCCATGATACTCCAAGCAGGGCAACCAGGCAAAAGTCATGCAGCTCAGACGCTGATTACGAAGAATCCTAACCAACGGACACGACAACCAAAACAAAACTACTAGCAGCAGCGGCTGCACCCAAAGCCCTAAACCGTAAACCCCCTTGTAGATCCCCTTATAGAACCCTGATAGGTCCCTTTCAAAGGAACCGTAAACCCTCATCAAACCCGAAACCAGTTCTCTGAAAGACCCCGGTCAAGGATCTCCGGATCGTCGCTGTGCAGGCGCAATGGACTGAGAATCTCCAAGATGTTGCCTTGAAGGAGAGGTAAGAGCTAGGGCTTGGGGCTTAGGGCTGAGGGCTTAGGGCTTGTGTGTTTTTTTTCTTTGAAGGCCTTTTCGGTGACTGACGCTGCCTCCAGCTTATGAGGCAGGCTTATAAGGGTTTATAGGGTTTTAGGGCAATAGCTACTGCCAAGCAGCAGGTCTGAAGTTAAGGCGTGCAAGCAAATTAGAAGAGAAGCGAACTCGTGCTTCTGCTGCCTGTTCTGGTTTTTGCTTCATCGTGTTTTGAAGCATCGGTGATTCACATCTAGCGGCTCTAGCGAGTACCGGTAGTGTAGGCCTGGCTCGGGTGCTTCATGAGGCAGGGCCCCTACCGGCATCCGCTCCGGATTTACTTGGGGTTTAGGGCCGAGTTTAGGGTTTAGGGCGGTTTAGTTCTTTACGGTTTAAGGGTTTAGGGCTTTTGCAGGTTTGGTTTCGCCGACTTGAACCTTAAGAGAGTTCAGTTTATGGTGTGTGCTTTCATTAAAGATGAAGCCCTAACAGGAAGGGATTAAACACACACCTCATCATCTTCAGAATATTTCCTAAGAAACTTGCCGTATGCAGCAAGTAGTACAATATGCTCATGCAAAAACCCGTAGGAGAATGTACCATGGGAGGGTCGGCACAGAAGAGCCGAGCGAAGTCCAAAACCCTAAACCCTTCAACAAATCAACCCTAAACTTTTACCCTAAGGCTCCGTAGGTTCCTTTTTGGGATTCCCTTATAGGATTCGAAACATGAACCCCAAAAAGGAACTGCTATGGAGCCTTAGGGAATAAACTCCGGACTCCGAACCACAAACCTCAAAGAGCGCCGACAGGCCGGGTAGCTTCGGTCAAGCATCGAGACGAGAAGCTCGCCACAAGCTTTCCGCAAACCTGCGCTGCCACTATGACGACTCCATGGCCGTGGCTGTTTGGTGTGCCGGGCTGCAGATCTTACAGGGAACTCCAGAAAGTTGGAATATGGTTTCATGGCAGGATACCCTATAATTAATTTACCATAGAAGGGTTAGGATAATCATATTCCAATTTTCTTGCTTTTACCTTAAGAGGTTTAGCATTTAAAGTCCAGGCTTCGGGTTTAGGGCGGCGAGTTTGGGGTATCGGGGTTAGGTTGTTTGGTGTAGGACTGTTAGGTTGGTCCACCTTGGTCTCTCAGCTACCAACTGCTCAACGCACCCCCTTCCTCCTCTACTCTTCTTCTCTCATTGCGTGTCATTACTACACGTGCTATTGGCCAGTGTCGGAGCACTCAGCTAGCTGACGATTCAGTCTCGAGTCTAGAGCATCCTTGGCCACCCATTCGTGTAAGCTTTATGTACTGCAGGCTCTGCAGGCTGCCTTACGGGTTCTAAGTGCGATGACAACAATGACAACAATGGGCACTCCCAAAAGACATCATCGTGAACGGAAAGTACTAACAAGCAGCCATATCATAACCATTGGGTTCAAAAATGGAGCATGCTTGAGACCACACCGACCACACAAACACTCGTCTTTCAATGGAAGGCCTTTCTTGTCAAGATGAAATCGACAAACTTTACGTCTGAAACCCTGAACTTCCCAGCTCCAAACCCTATCTTGCATCTGAAGCCCTGAACTTCATGTTAATGTACCGTACTCTCATCGCTGTGGAGCTGCCTGGGACGTCGTACATCCGTGCCAGGTGCATCACCTGATGACTCGAGTTTTGAGAGTAACTCTAGTACTGCTACCGCTGCTACTGCTACTTCATACTCCTGATATAGGGGCCTTAGCAGTTAGAATCGGGTTTGGGGCCCACTGTACTATACTTAGTATAATCAGGATCCCCCACAATAGTATATACTCCTACTCCTGCTGCAGCCCCTACACTACACTACCACCCACCACTACCACTGCCACTACCACCACGAATACCAAGACCAGCACCAGCACCAGCACCAGCACCACCAACCCAAACCACCACCACTACCACGACGACGACCACTGCCACTGCTGCTGGTGCTGCTACCACTACTAAGACTAATTACAACCATGAGTACTAGGAGAAGTAGTAACAGAAGCAGCAGTAAAAGCACTAGCAGCAGATCAGCATGAGCAGCAGTATGGGTAACAGTAACGCTAGCAGTAGGCAACACCACACAGCAAGCGAGCCGAGCGGGGACGTGCAAAGACGAAACCAAAAGGTGCGAGCTTAGCCTCCTTGCCCAGTCCTGTCCACACGTTTGAACGTGTGGCTGATCCCTGTGTTTACTTGCAGATATTTGGGTGGTTGTCAAAATTAGGATCCCTTTTTGGGTACCCTAAATATTAGGTGCCGTATTATAATAAGGACACAAAAAGCGACCATAATTTCGACAACCGCCCGAGTAGTGCAAAGCTGAATATGGACCAACCTCAATGCAGGATCCTCGAGAGCGAACAATAGGAACCCAAAGTCCGATTTTCCGTTCAAATGCCACATCCCTAAGGCTCCAGCTACCTAAATAAGTAAGTTCCTAGACATCTGTCATATACCCAGTAGAAGCCAGAAAGTTGGAACATCAGTATCCACATTCCTTACTTAGAGGTTCACGGGACTTAGTAACTAGGGTTATAATTAAGGTAACTATACTTATAATTATAACCCCAATTAAGGTACTTATATCTGTACTTACTAAGTCCCAAGAACCTCCAAGTAAGGCAAACCAGTTGAGATCCTAGCACCAATCCTCCTAAACCCATGTTCCAACTTCCGGTGGTTCACCGGACGATTTAGGTAACTGGGAGTTTCCGAAAATCAGGGACCCTAATATGGTACTCTAAATAGTAGGATCCTTATTATAAGGTCCCCCCAAAATAAGGTACCCCTAATTTCGGCAACTCCCAACTGGAGCCCAGGGCATGAAAGCTCCGTAACAAGTCTGTCTAATCATAGCCGACTCTCTCAGCTGATGTTTCCAAGGGTTTAGGGGGTTTAGGGTTTAGGGGTTTAGGGTGGTTTCCAGACAAGTTTAGGGCTTAGGCTTCAGGGTTCAGGGTTGAGGTTTCAGGGCTCAGGGTTTAGCGCGTAGGGTTTGGGGTTCCCACCGAGACCGAAACAAAAATCCTAGCCACCAACAGAAAAAGTCGACAACCCCAACTCTACCCTAAACCCTTTATAGAACCCTTATAGATCCCTTTAAGGAACCCTTGTGGATCCCTTTAAAGGTACCCCACCTAAAGCCCGCAACCCACCCCCCAGAACCCGTAATCCCCGGAGCTGAGCCTGCTCCATCTGCCTGGGTCTCATCTCCTCCACACTCGTCGCGTAGGGCTTGCTTGTATATCTTCAGGCGTAATGTAGGGGCCTTCAAATAATTAGAATAGGCTTTCATGGGGGCCCATTATACTATACGTATACAAAGGAACTCCCTAATAGTAATTATCGGTAATTATTTAGGCCCCTGTATTATCTTCAACCCAGGATACCAGCTTATACCACACCACTTAGGATTCATTCTGCGGACTACAGGTCAGGCTGGTGTCCCTGAGATTTGGGACAGGGGACCTCGTGGTGTTTGGCGAGATCCCGGCTAAGGGGATTGATGACGTCAGGCGCCATTGCTTGGGGTTCAGGGTTCCAGCCCTAACCCCTGACCCCCGGTAGTAGCCGAAAGCCTATAGAGTTACTTCAAGTTACTTCGGGTTCAGGATTGGGGCTTGGTGCGACTTTGGGCTTAGGGCGTAGGGCCGTAGGGCTTCTAGGACTTAAGGTCTGTATAAACTTTCACCCGCACGGTGCAACTCTATTCGCAGAAGTTGCAAGTACAGGGAACCAAGAAGCACGACATGCAACCCGCAACCCCAAACCCTACTATCCTAAACCCTAGAACCTAACCTCGAAGCGATGCCCGAAAGCCATCCTGGGCAGATGCCGGCATCTCCGAAGTATAGATGAACTCGAGAAAGACGGAGAGAGCCTGTTCCCGTGGTAATATCGTGTTTCGGGCTTGGCTGGAACAGGGTCTAACAGGTGTAAGCCTAGATTTATACCAGGGCCTGCATGATTTCGACAGGGTTATGTGTGAGGGGGTATAGCTATATTCTACGATATAACATCGTACCCACTGTACTTGCCGAAGGTGTATACCTGCATATTGTTTATGACGATTCAAAGACCTAGAATCTAGTGGAAACTATCGGGTTTAAGTAGGGATCCTTTCCTGGCTTGAGACCTAAACTACACGGATCTGTTGTAGAATCCAAGATCGTGAGAACCAAAGCGCTGATGGCTGAAACTATGGACACCAAACTGACACAGCTTTACCCTGCTTTGAACCCCAACTAACCCACCTTTTTTCGGGTCCTTATTATGACTCCTTTATATAAGTCCTTGAAACGGTAGGCTGTTTGCGGTTTAGGTAGCCCTCCAGTAGTAAGTTCTTACCCATATGGGTGGTTGTCGAAATTATGGCCCCTGTTTGGGTAGGTGCCGTATTAGAATGGGGACCCAACAAGGGACCATAATTTTGACAACCACCCATATAGTATGTAACCCAGTAGCCCATTACAGAGAGTGCTCCAAAGTGTCAAGTTGTGCTGGACATTGAAGTGAAGCGGGAAAGGTCGCGACTGAACGTGCTTCATCGTGGCAAAGTCCAACCACTTGGAGGTTCATGGGACTTAGTAAGTACAGTTATGAGTACCTTAATTGGGGTTATAAGTAATTATAAGTATAGTTACCTTAATTAGAACCCTAGTTACTAAGTCCCATGAACCTCTAAGCAGTTGCCGGGTGCCTCCTCGGCCAGCTTTTTCTCCCTCAGAAAGAGATGCTCGACGCCCCACCTGCGCCTCATGGTAAAGCCGCATCTTGCGCACGCCCTGTGCGATCTCGCGCTTGCTTGATTTGTAGATTTCAAGCAAATTGCATTTCTACATTTGACACACAATTTTGTGCCGGAGTCCCCCTTTATGGACAGACAGTACTTCTGTGCGGCACCGTCTTGGACCAGGACCTTGAAGGAACTTGTAGTATAGCCGCACAGGCACACACGTTGCCTTGGCAAGCTCCGACTCAGTCATGAGGCTGAGAGGCCTAGGGTTCGCCTTCGAAAAATCCATGGGCGCATCAGTAAAGCTATGGGCGCATCAGGAAACAAGGGGTCAAATCAGGAAGGTGGAATTGCATGCTAGGATCCTTGACTATGAATGACCGCAACTCGGGACCAATGGCTTAAGAACCACCTCTTTCATGGCTAGCATCCAGTTGCCCTAAAACGGCAGCACGTTGCCCAAAAACCGTGAACCCAAAATCCTAAACCTCTCCACGCTAAACCCATGAAACCGTGAAGTGCTGAACCTCCTTGGATCCTAAAACTAGGCCCAAGAGTAACCTAGGAATAAAAAGGGTGCCCTTTTTGGTTTAAAGGGGCTTATAAGGGAACCTGATCCCTTAAAAAGGGAATAAGGGCCTACTCTGGGTCCTAGAAAAGCCTAGAGTCCGAAAGCCCTAGAACCCGCAAGGTCCAAAGCTTTCAAGTCCTAGCCGGGATACTCCTACAAGGTCGTCTGCTTCACGGTTCAGGGGGTTTCAACAGGTTTGGGATTTAGGGTTTCAGGGTTTAGGGCTTATAGGGCTTGGGATTAAGGTTTAGAGTGTACAGTTTCGGGATTTATGGCTTCGCCTCAGGGTTAGGGGGTTTAGGGTTTCGGGTTGCATGCAGGGTCCAGCAGTATAGGGGCCACGCCATGTACATCATCCATATGTGGAAAAGCCTAGACCCTGAATCCTAAACTCTAAACCCTCAACCCATAAACCCTAATAATTACACAAGTCTGAGTCGATTTTTCGGACTTTTGTAAGGAAATCACAGAACTTAGTCCTAAAAAGGAGGGTGTATTTGTGGGTCCATGTGCAGCCCACTAATGTTCCACCGGACAGAACTCAGATAAATGAGCCTCGCTGGAGGCGTCGGGGAAAGTAATCTGCTTCTCCTGTTGGCGATGTATTTCTGCCACAGAGGCTCCAATATTGTCTGGTGCTTAGTAGGGAACGGGGGGAATGGATCCATACAGTAGTCCCTATGTATACTCCCCAATAGTAGTCTCCATAATCCGTGCTCCCATTCCCTACTAAGAACCAGGCAGAATACCAACCAGAAGCCTTCGAGAGCACCACCAGCTCCAAACTACTATGCACTAGTCTCTAGGACTCTAGGCTGCATGAGCCGGAGTTCCTCCCTGAGCCCTGAACCCTAAACCACTAAATCCTGAACCCCTCAACCCTAAACCCCTCAAACCTAACACCTCAAACCACAAAGACTGGAACCAGTGGACTCCTCAACCCTCAGCCCTAAAACCCTAAACCCCAAAAAATCCTAACACCTCAAACCAACCAGTGGACTCCTGAGCCTCCTTCATGCCAGTTTGAAGCATCGAATTCCTCAGCTTCGGGCCTAGAGCTTTGATTTTCCTCAGGGCTTTTAGGGCTCAGGGCTTATAGGCGTTGAGTGTTTAGGGTTTAGGGCTTATTGGGGCTGAGGGGGTTTAGGGTTTAGGGGTTATAGGGGTTGAGGGGGTTTAGGGCTTATAGGGGTTGAGGGTTCAGGGCTTACAGGGGTTGAGAGATTGGGGTTTAGGGCTTATAGGTTTCGAGGTTTAGGGTTTGAAACCCTCCACCCCTAAGCCCTCCACCCCTCATAGTCTCGCTTGAGGAACCTCAGATCAAGGCTGATGCGAGCTCCCCAATGTCCAGCGATTTGGGTGGCTGTCAAAATTGGGGTCCCTTTTTGGGGTACCAGAAATTATGAAGTGCCGTATTATAATAGGTACCCAAAAAAGGGACTATTAGGTGCCGTATTATAATAGGTACCCAAAAAGGGACCATAATTTTGACCACCACCCATTTGATATTGTGTAGAATGTCTGGACTGAGCCATCAGGGGTTTGGCTTTGGGTTAGGGCTCAAAGGCCTTTGAGTTGATTTCAATGCTAAAACCCAAGAGCCCAGCTTTCTGCCCGAGAGCCATCCAAGGGTTTTGGGTATGCTTTTCTCTAACAGCCCTAAACTTTACTCCGCGATCTTAAAGCCCCAAGTTCAAAAGCCCATAACCTAAAGCCTTCAAGCTTTAACCGTGTAGCTTTGAAGAGGTATGTTTCAGGGTTTACAGGGCAATAGAAGGAACATAAGATCCCTCAAGGCTGGAGGGTGCTAGGAGACTAGTAAAGAAAGCCCCGGAGAGCAAGAGGAGAAATGCATGCGATGTCACGGCCCCCTAAACCCTAAACCCTACACATTACGACAAAGCCTCATAAAACCCGAACCCTACGGAAGACCACGCAGCACAGGGTCAGTGCTTCCGAGCAGGTGGCGAGCACCTGCATGCAACATGCCAAGGAAGAAGGAATATCGGGCCGGTTGGATAACATAGGGGCCTAGACTAATTAGCGCAGGATTTTGGGGTAGATTATACTATAACTAACATAAGGAACCCCAAAACCCTAAACCCTAAAGCGCTGCCGCAGCCCTTGGAGGGTTCTGAGCAATTCGTGCAGAGGCTGCTGGCCGTATGCAAACGAGCTCTCTTCCATCTAATCCTTCCAAGTAATCTCTGAAGTGAAACTACTTAGAGGATCTTGGGGCTGAGTAACTGGGGTTAGATTTAAGGCAACTATACTTATTACTTAACCCCCCCCCCGCTTAACGTACTTATGATCATACTTACTAAGTCCCATGATCCTACCATTATAGACCCCTTATAGACCCCATTAAGGAACCCTATTATAGTACCCTAAAAGGAACCCTAAACCCTACTTACTAAGTCCCATGATCCTCCAAATCCAAACTAAACCCTATAGATCCCTTTAAGGAACCCTATAGATCCCTTTAAGGGGTCCTATCCTCCCATTATAGACCCCTTATCCCTTTAAGGAACCCTATTATAGAACCCTATAGTACCCTAAACAGGAACCCTAACCCCCCCCCCCCCATTGAGGTAAAAAAATGTCTCGACACAGCCAAGGCACGGCCCGATGGCACGGCAAGGCGCAAGCAGCATCCAGGCCGGAAACCACAGACATGTCTGCAAAGCGCCTGAGGAAAATTAGGGTTTAGGGTTTAGGGGTTAGGGACGGTTAGGGTTTAGGTTAAGGGTTTACGGGTTAGGGTTTAGGGTTTAGGGATTTAGGGTTTAGGGTTTAGGGTTGCATGTCTCGAAGGTTCCTGCTGTAGTGGAGAGCACGCAAATCTGCAACATTCCACGTCCTAGTTGCAGCCGCCGTTTGGCATTGCAGCGGCAGTAGTACTGCAATGACCAGTGAAACGTAGGTGAAGACTCACCCACCCCAGCTGGACTGGCTGCTAAGCCCAGGGGTCCTTATTCAGGGTCCGCCCTTTTACTTTTGGACCTAAGCACTGATGTAATTTCTAAGGGGCGACAGCTTATATAGTCATCGCCGCAGAGTTGGAGCATCAGTATCCTCGTGGCGTAACTGTGGCTTACAGCTGCTGAGGCGCTTCCCCAAACCAAAACCCCAAACCCTAAGCCCTAACCCCTAAACCCTAACCCCTAAATCCCTAAACCCTAACCACTAAACCCCAAACCCTAACCCCTAAACCCTAACCCCTAAATCCCTAATTAAACCCTAACCCCTAAACCGTAAACCTAACCCCTAAACCCCTAAACCCCAAGCCTAAACCCTCAAACCCCTAAACCCTAAAGCCTCACTTGAGAGCTTAGGTTTTGCAGGTGATCCTGCATCCGATATCGACCCTGGGATCAGTTAACGCGTGCGCGACCCAAGGGTCCATTCGACCCTGCTCTCCTGACCCAGAGACTCCAATATCCCTTAACTAAGGAATATACCTTAAATCATATAAGGGATCCTACTATAATTTAAGGTCTATTCCTTAATTAAGGGATATTGGAGTCTCCAAGGACCCCTGCGATTTAAGGTTTAGGGTTTAGGGCCTGCTACTAGAGCTACTGGAAGCTCCTGCCGAGCTAGGAGCCTTGATGCTTCGACGAGGTTGTAATTGTGGTATATTGCTTATGAATAACAGGAAGCCTAAGGCAATAGCATTGGTACTTATTCTAGCCAATACATTCGACCCTGAACCGCGCGGAACTACCAGAAACTTGAAACCCTCAGCCCCCGAATGCTCCCCAAACCCTATACCCTAAAACCAGAGGCGCATGTGCTCCCACATCTTCTTTCCCTGATGCATCTGGCAGGAGCCACCTGAACTCAAGGGCTTCTGGGCGTTTCGGGTTTAGGGCTTAGGGTTTGGGGGTTTAGGGTTTTAGAGTTCAGGGTTTAGGGTTTGGCCCTAAACTAGTCCTTTTTGAATACTTTGTGGCCAAAGTATATGCCATGCGGGCAGATGGACCCTTAGGGTAAGAGACTCTATCTTGAGCGTTTAGCTCTCTTACCTTGAGGGTTTCGAGGGTCTATCTTGAGGGTTTAGGGTGTGTCGTTTATTTTTCGAGTTTGGGGGTGCCCGAAAATGCTAGCCGTGAAGTAATTAAGTACAATGAAAGGGTAGGACCTTGATGGTATGGTGTATAGTCGTACCGTAGTACACTTGCTGCTGCAGTGTTTCTTGGTCTGAGGCATTCCCGAACATTCGCGCGCTTGCAGAGCAAGGCTCTGCCGAAGTTGTTATCTAGTCCATGGTTGGGATAGGGTTAAAAGTATACATTTTTATTCCTTATTGGGTTTAAGTACGCATAAAAATGTAAAATGTTATCCAACTATGACAAAGTTATACTTTATACTGCACAACCGTACGGAAGGACTCTGTGGCTTCGAAACATGCTCGCAACCCGAAGCCCTACCCTAACCCGCAAACAACCTACTTTTTTAAAGGACTTACATATAAGGAAGTCATAGTAAGCAACCCTACACAAGTGGCTTGTACAGGGTTTACTTATCCGGCTTGTCATGTTCGCCCGATGCTGGACCAAGAAGGACAGCATGCCGTTGACATTGTTTCATTGGAACTAAGGTTCTGGGACACGGGCTTGGGGCTGAAGGTTTAAACACTTGCTGCTGTTAAGTTATATCAGATCTAGAGACCTGTACAGGGTGCTTCGGGTTTCTGTACCCTGGCGCCGGATATCGGCATCATGTAAACTTCGATGCCTGATACAGTGATACACCCAAAACCCTGTTTAAGTTATGAAGGCCCCTATATTGCGCCCAAATGGCTTTAGCCCTGCAATACTTCCTGGTACATCCCAGCCGCATGTGATGGAGTGGGGCAGCCACAAGCGCAGAGTGCAGCGCATCCAGGGCGCGGTCCAGTCCTGCTATCAAGACGCCTGTTTCGATGGGTTCTGGAGGGTTCTGTAAAGGTTTACAACCCCTAGCTGCAAAGATCGACCGTCCCCTGTGCTCAGGCTCTGCTTGCGAGAGCGAGAATGCGCAAGATGAACTAACAAAGAATTAGAGGACGTTCCGAGAACCTCCAGCTCAGAATCAACCAGTATCCTGTGTCCTGCAAGCGACTGTGGACAACAAGCATGCGCTGTATTTTTTCAAGTTCCTGATAGAAGCATGATATTCACTAAACATCTACCTTCGGGTAGGATCTATTCAGCGAGCTTCGCTCCAAAACACAGACTGCAAGCTCCCCTAGACACTAAAACATTTAAGCGCTCATGCAAAGGATCCCACCCAGACCCCGGACTGCACAATCTCTTGCTGGGATGACTTATCTTGCCGCTCGGGTCCTATAACAAGGAAATAGAGGAAGCCCCCAAACCTGAAGATACTGAAAGGTCTGGTAAGTATAGGGCCTTTCATGGTTAGAATTGTGTCTCGGGCATATTGCACTATAACATGATGAAAAGCAACCCTATGGAGCCCTGTTGGTGACTATCCGGGCTTCTACCTTAACATAGTAGGTCGTATAGAACCCTCATAGCACCCCTATAGAAACCCGTACGAACGCCTCATAAACCCTAAACCCTCATGGAACGAAACGGTGTAGGATGGTCTAGACAGACTTGCACCGCAGGGCAAGTGTCCGAGTGAGGGAAAAGGTCAGGAAAGCCGCGCTTCGCTGTGAACTCGTCGTTCACCTTAAAGTCGTGGGTTTAGGGATGTCTCGGATTTAGGGTGGCGATTTGCAGATGCGAGTCTCGGGATTAAAGCCAAGCTCGAAACTCTCACAGGGCTTGTATTTAAGGTGTCGGGGTTTAGGGGACGGGAGGATATTAGGAACATTACGTCAGAATTCAAGGGTTTCCAACTGAATGAACACCATTGGAGTTGATACATGGGTGGTTGTCAAGATTATGATCCCTTTTTGGGTACCCGAAATACTAGGTGCCGTATTATAATAGGGACCCTAAAAGGGACCCCAATTTTGACAACCACCCACAAGCTTAGGACGTGCTACTGGGCATCTGGCACATCGGACTCCTCTCTCTATGGAACTCATGCCGCCCCATGCCCAAGACATCCGATGAGAGGACCCTGATGCACTAAACATACCCCTGGGTTTTAGGGTTTAGGGGTTCAGGGTAGAGGTTTAGGGGTTTAGGGTTTAGGGTTAAGGGTTCGAATCGTGCAATTCGTCGGGAGCTCTGAGTAGCGGCTGGAGAACACTCTGACATCCCGGAACCAGTACATCTCGCAAACACACGTCTTCTCCATCCATACCTGAAGCTCTGCAAACCCGACACGGAATCTGAGAATCCCTGTGCCCAGAATTCCCATACATCCATGAAGCGCTGCATTCCCTTTTGCCCTAAAGCCCCGGATTGAGCCCGAAACTGCAAACTTATGCCTAAACCCCAAACTCTATACCCCTAAACTCTGCATAAGCTCTCTCAGCGGAGATATAAACCTGTGTAACCTCTCTCAAGAGAGTTGGAAGCTTGGAATGTGGGAGTTTCCGAAAACAAAGACCCTAGTATAGTAATTACCCTAAATAGTCGGATCCGTATTAGGGTTCATAGGGTTTAGGGTTTAGGGATTATGTAAGGACCCCAAATGAAGGTTTATAGGGTTTAAGGGCTTAGGGTACTCCCACGTGGACGTCGGAGACTTAGCTCGGCGCCTCGACCACTCCTCCTGCAGAGCTTTCTGTCGCATTGAGCTTTGGCTCAGTTTCAGTACCGTAGCCCTAGAGACCCAAAGGGTGCAAGTACCAATATGGGTGGTCGTCAAAATTAGGGTCCCTTATTGGGTGCCGACAACCACCCATATAGAAGGCTTTTAGTAGATATTTGGGCCCAGAAAATATGTACCGTGCTATTGCTTGGACTCTTTGGGAGAGCTTGTCATAGGTTGCTGACACTTACCCCGGGGACCAACCCCGGCTCTCCTCAATAAATGAGCGATAAATGATCGTTAAAATGGCACTAAAAATGTATTATGTGAGCATTATGGGAGCAATAAGTGAGCAATAAACGAACACTAGTGAGAGACGATGTCTGCCCTCCCCCCCTGCCCTGCCTGCCCTGCCCCCCTGCCACCCTCTGCACTTCCCTGCTTTTGCTGCCCTGCCCTGCCTGCGCTGCACCACCCCCCACCCCACCCCACATCCCACCACCCCCCGCCCCACCCCCCACCCCACCCCGCACCCCACACCCCACCCCAGCCCACCCCAAACCAGCTCTAGTTGCGTTTGCAAGAACCAACCCCGCATCAGAGCATTAAATGAGCATTAAATGAGCGTTAAATGAGCGTTAAATGAGCATTAAATGAGCGTTAAATGAGCATTACATGAGGAGGTGGTGATAAGCGGGGTTACTCGCTCTACCACCCCCCGCCCCGCCCACCCCACCCGCCCCGCCCGCCCCGCCCTGCCCCGCGCCGCGCCCCACCCCGCCCCACCCCCGCAACTCACAGTGGGCAGCTGCACCAAGGTAGATGGTGGGCCGCCATATAAAGCTCATTTAATAGGCATTTATCCTAGATTGCGGGGTAGGGTCTAGGGGTAGGTGTGGGCAGCCCATGAGCTTGGGTGTTAGGGTGTCAAGGGATTTAGGGGCTAGCCGCTCCGTACTGTTCGACCCATTCCTGGTACTCCTAGATATCTGCTTCTGCAGAAAGAGAGAGAGAGAGAGAGAGAGAGAGAGAGAGACAGAAATGCTGGCAGATACACATACTACCATGTAGGGATAGACATGTTGCGCATAGTTTGCATATGTGTAGCTATGCGTATGGGCATATAGTTAACATACACATACCCTGATACCTGCGTGCACTGAGTTCTCATATTCGGTCTAAAATTTGCTACACACGTATGCACAGATGCCATAGTATACAACACATGGCATGACAAGCATAGCACAAAATAACACAACATATTATAGCATAGCATGGCATACCTATACAACGTATAAACAGGCTGGGACGACACGACACTGTAAACAAAATATCTTGCATGTATGTATGTATGCATGAAGACAGGCAGGCTCGCAGGCAGGTAGACAGACAAAAAAAACATAAACCCATGCATACATGCATGCGCACAGACATGTATGTACCCACATATGCACAACCACACACATACACACATACCCTACCTGCGTACGTACCCTTCCTACCTACCTACCTCCACGCATGCATGCCTCCATACAGGCATGCACAGTGCTGTGTCGCTTGCTGTCCCGAGCCCCACCCTGCAAGCCAGCTTGACCCATGCCATACAGTAGAAGCCCAAGAGTTGGAAACCCCATAGCCTCAATGCTTAAGGTATAGGGAATCCCAGCGCTATTTGGCTTTAATCAGGTTTCCAACTTTATGAGGTTTACTATACCCTCTGAGCCCCTTCGGGCTCTCACCAAAAAAGTCTTTGAATACCTCCCTGGGCTCGTGTTGCTACAGAACGAAAGGTTGCTAAGGACCTCCCAGTACCGGATCTTAATTACCCCTACGGAGACTCAAGTGACTCAAGTCCATAAATCTCTACACCCTGAACTCTGAATCCTGAAGCCTTAACTAAAGCCGAAAACCTCCAAACCTTTAACCCGAAAACTTTGCCCGGAAACCAAACCCTTAACCCTAAACTGAATCTTGGAAATCCTAAATCCCCCTAAGACCCTGAACCCTTAACCCTAATCCGAATCTGGGATACCCCGAACCCCCCAAGCCCTACAGCCTAAGACCCTAAACTGCCCTAAATCCTTGATCCTAAACCGAATCTGGGAAACCCTAAACCCCTACTTAGAGGATCATGGGGCTTAGTAACTAGGGTTCTAGTTCGGGTAAAACATACTTATAAGTCCTTATAATCCCACTTAAGGTACCCCAAACCCCCTAAGATCCTCAACCCTGAACCGAATCTGCAAAAACCCTAAACCCTCAGACCGGGAATCCCGAAAACCCTCAGACAGGAACCCATGAAGTCCCATGATCCTTTAATTGGGGTTATAGGTATGGTTATAAGTATAGTTGCCCTAAATATAACCATAGTTATGAAGTCCCATGATCCTTTAAGTAGGGTAAGCCAGAGGTCCCAAAGTCCCTGGATCCTAAAGCCTAGACCCCCTTTTTAGGAACCCTTATAGATCCCTTTAAAGGAACCCCCCCTACAGCAGAAGCTGGAAAGTTGGAACATCATGATCCTCATGCCCTTAAAGTAGAAGGAATCCCAGCATTTCTCATCGTAAATCCATGTTCCAACTTGAAAGGGCTCACTGTAAGACCTCAACCCGCTAAACCCCAAACCCCAAAAAAACTATTCCGCCGAATCTAAGAAACCCTAAACCCTAACACCCAAACCCTAAGACCCAGAACCCAAAAACCAGACCCCTAAGACCTTAGATACCCCAAACCCCTGAACCCCAAAGCCTGCTTAAAGGATCATGGGACTTAGTAACTAGGGTTATAACTAGGGTAACTATACTTATTATAACTACTGATAACCCCAATTAAGGGTACGTATAACCATACTTGCTAAGTCCCATGATCCTCCAATATAGACCCCTTTATAGATCCCTTTAAGGAACCCTACGATAGTGCCCTAAAAAGGAACCCTAAACCCTAAACCCCTCCAAGTACGCCCGAAGCCGGGGTCCTTTGGACTTTCCTGTGCCTTTGCCCCACCAGCCCTTCCCTTTCCCGGGGCAGAGGCTGCATCGCTCCTCTGGTGGACATCTAGCATTTCTTTGAGCTTAGTGCGGTTTAGGGTTAAGGGTATAGGTCTTATTGTTTAAGTTGGGGAGGGTTTAGGGTTTATGGGGTGGGGTAGGATTTAGGGGGTTTAGGGTTCACCTATAGTCTCCATTGCAGCTGTTTTGTTTGGTTCAACCGGCCTCAAAGTTAGATACTGAGGACCGAATGAATAAGGCAACCCCAAAAGGAACTACAATGGAGACTGCAGGGAGGGAGTCAGGACTCTAGGTCGTGGATTTTGGAGGGGTTGCAGTAGAAGCCAGAGAGTTGGAACATCAATATCCTCATGGCCTTAAAAGTAAAGTAGAGGGGATCCCAGCACTAATCATCCTAAATCCATGTTCCGACTTTCGGGGGTTCACTATAAACCCTAAACCCTACACCCCTAAAACACATGTGGGTGGTTGTCAACATTATGGCCCCCTTTTTGGGGCACCCTAAATATTAGGTGCCGCATTGTATTAGACCCCCAAAAAGAGACGGTTAGGGATGGGGCTTCTGGAGCATGGTCAGAAAAATCATGGAGCCGACCCGCAGCTTCGACACGTGGGGAGTTCCCAGGGTTCGGGGTGGTTAGGGTTTAGGGTTTGGATACGACGGTTGATGATATAAGTCCTGCATTAACCATAATGAGGAATATGCCATAGTTCCCAAAGTTTAGGGTCCTTAAGGTAATGCAGGATTTATATCATCAACCGTAGCATTTTCTCACTGGCCCAAAACCCAAGGAAACAAAAGTTGAAACTTTCAGAATCGACTACCTTATAAGAACCCCGAAAGTCGAAAAGTTGAGATTCCACAATAAGCGATTCTGATTCTAGCGGCTCTTGTTGTTTGTTGTTTTTAGTATTTACTACTGTTTTTATTGCGGGATTCATGATCTGCACCCCTCGAGTTCAGGCCCACCAGCTTATTGATTCATGCTAGAGGATTGCTATTGGTAGGCAGGGATGCTGCAATGCAGAGTCTCTACCTAGACCTACTAAACCCTTCCTCCTACATTATAAACCCCAATATGGGATTTATAGGGACCCCACAAAAAGGTAGGGGTTCTGGGAGGCTAAGGTAGATTCCTGAAAGCTGCAAGTCCCGCAATCTGGAGGTTTGGCACTACTCGGGTCCTCAACACCCGCTCCCTAAACCCTAAACTGGCTCGGGGCGTAGGTGAACCCGTAGCTCAAGGCCCTCGGTTATCTCACTCCACACACACACACACAAAGCCCTAATTCTTGCAATTATAGCAACCCTGAAACCCCTAAACCCGAAACCCCACATCCTAAAGCCCAAACCCTGCACCCTAAAAACCACTAAACACAAAATCTCCAAACCTCACTGAACCCGAAACCGTAGACAAAATAAACCCCACACCCTAAACCCCTAAACCCTACTACACCTTCAACCGCCAAACACTTTTATAGAAGCCTTATAGATCTCTTATAGGAAGCCTCATAGAACCCCATCCCCTGCACCCTAAGCCACCAAGCCCTACCTTAAACCCTAAACCCTACACCTCAAAGCCCTAAACCCCAAACCCCACCTGAAAACCGCCAAACCCCAAAGCCCTAAACCCCAAACCCCACCTCAAAACCGCCAACCCCTCTGTAGGACCCCATCCCTAAACCCGCTTCGAAAATAGACCCTTTCGAGGATCCCTAGCCCCCCCTTAAACCTACTTGTCGGGTATCATGGGGAAACCTTTTTGGTTATATAGGGATTATAGAGGGACTATACTACCCAAAAAAGGCTAAAGCGCGACGTGGAATAAGCTGCGTCCCCAGCGAAAGGCTACTACTAGGGAACTTTAAGGATCTATCCCTGCTAAACCAGGACCCCTTTAACGAATTATTCCCGGGCGCCTCCTTTCGGCAGCGAACTCTCGAGCCGCAGGCGGCCTTCCAGAGCTTGGAAAGGGGAAATAAGAAGGGAATTAGGGAGTAGAGCTTCAGATGTCATTATGAGAAACAGGGTTTCGGGGAAAAAGAAAGGAATCAGGTTTGGGTTTTAGGGGTTTTCTAATTAGGGAGTAGAGCGGCGGATAAGACAGGAATTAGAGAGTAACTAGAGTGGCCAAGGTATTTTCCAAAAGTAGATGTATCAATGCTTAGAATCAAATGCTTTTGAAGACTTGCATTGGTTACTCCGAGTAGTTGGGTTCAGCGACTTGAAAATTTCGCCAGGATTGGGGTGTAAGGGTTTCAGGGTTCAGACATTCGGGGATTGGGGTTTAGAGTGTATAGGGTGTTGACTTGCGGGATTAAGGCCTTGAGGGCTGACAGGGTCTAGTTTATACCGGGCATACTATTGAGAATTAGCCGGCCCCTATATCAACCCCCAGAGTTTGACCCTAGTCCCCAAAGCCCGAAACCCTACTTATTAGAGTTTCTACGATTACAGGGAGACGGGAATAATTATAGAATCCCTATAGAGCCCTTTGAAGGGATCCTTAAAGGAGCCCTTATAACTACCCATGAACCTCCAAGCTATAAGAAAGTGCCTCGATCAGGAAAGTGAGTTCCAGGCTCCAGTAAGGATCGTCGGCGCCTGTTCGCTCAAAGGGTTCTAGAACGGCTCCTACAAGGGTTCTACGTGGATGGTTGTCAAAATTAGGGTCCCTTTTGGGTATCCTAAATAATAGGTGCCGTAATATAATAAGGACTCAAAGAGGGCGGTAATTTTCACGACCATCTACATGAGGGTTTATGGTTTAACGGGTTCTACATGAGCTCTAAACATATTCGGGGTTAATGGCTTACCCTTTGGACATTCAGGTTTTTTGGGTTGCCTCTGGGCTTCTATACGAGTTTCTGTACGGATGTCAATAAGAGATTCTCAAAGTGTTCTTCAAGGATTTCTGCGAGGTGGACAGGGCACCAGGGTCATTGGAGAGCTTAGTCAGCTGAGGTGGTTTAGCGCTGACAGGACTTGCGGACCCTAAGCCCTAAACCCTTTAGTGAGTGAGCGAGCCATTGAGTGTCGACCTGGGGCGCTCTCGGGGCCATGGCGGGAGGCTGTGAGGGGTTGTGGAGTGAACATAGACAGCACCCGCAGCAAGACCCAACAAATTTTAGCTAATGCCCTTGTAGCTGCTTAGACCGTGTGGGGCAATGAAGTATGGTGGGCCTGTCGCTGCATCACCAAGACAGCTAGTAGAGGCGGGAAGTATTTTGGCAGTATTCCCACCAGCATAGATGGGGAAGCCGTGTTGTCGTGCGTGTTTTGGCCGTGGCATCATGGTGTTTTCTTTTGGTTTCCTGATGGTCTCCTACTGGTCTTTGCATGGATGCCTGGGGTCTCCTGCTGGTTTCCTGCCTGTGTCCCGGTGATTTACTGCCGGTATTTTGGTGGTCTGTGTGGTCTTCTGGGTCGTTGATCGTTTTTGGTCGTCTCTTGGTCTCCTGGCGGTGGTGGCCGTGGTCGTCGTGGTTGTTGTGGTCGTCCTGGTGGCCCTGATGGTTCCGGTTTTCGTGGTCGCCATGGTCGTCGTAGTGCTCTATCACGGATTGGGTTCGAGGGTGTACGATGGCATAATGCGACACTTGCTTGTTTCGGTATCTACGGCTGGACGTACTATGCGCACATGATTTATTGGAACATGTCCACAGTGTATGATATGCATGCACTGGCCCATGTTCCTTGCAATGTGTCCGCAGGCACGACAGCGAGCTTCAACATGCACGCAAGGGTGTTTGTGCGTGAGTGTTAGAAAACTGTATGTACTTACGTACATGGGCTTGCACTGAAGGTTTGCATGCATGTGCAATAACACATCCAAGGTAGACAGACAAGAGATGCCGCAACACAATCAATCTCACCATAGACTGCCAAGTACACTGGTGCCAGCTCCCACCCGCTCAAATCCAGAAACAACAATCCTAAGTCCATGAGTTGCTGGCCCCCGTGCGGAAGGATAAATAAATAGGAAGGGCGCCGAATGGACACATACTCTCAATGAGCCGCAGTGGTATAGTTGTAAACGCAAGGATACAGAAGCGGCCCTTCCAGACAGTTACAGTATGCATATACACCACTGGATGCTGTAGCACTTACATAGACATCTGACATTCATTCGTGGCAGAAACAGAAGGAAGCACAGACAACGCGGATCCCATGTGCGTGCCTGATGTGGGGGAAGACATCCCAAGGAAGGCGGCGACCATGTTGGAGGACTCGTCATGACCCTGCGGGAAAACCTGCATCTCAGATTTCGGGAGAATCTGCAATTTGGGGTCCTTATAATGAGGATCCTACTGTTTAGGGTTCTAGATTAGGGTCCCCTTTTCTCTGAATTCGGGTCGAGCACTTCAGTGTCGCCCCGTGCAAGTTTTTGCAAGCTGGAATGACTTCTTGCCAACTCCTTGGCTGCCAGACATGAACTTGCTGCCTGATTGCAGGTTTACGACATAGCGGCCAGCATTGCAATGACAAGCAGAAAAGAAGGTTAAAGAGACTAAATACCTGCATTAGCATTATATAATAGATAGAGTACCCTGGACATGGGCAATTGTAGAAGTAGCAAACGCCGATGCCAATAGAGCTTGCCTTCGAGACAATTGGTCGACCGAAAAATCTGATTGCAACAAACAGCTGATAGCATAGGGACCTAAATAATTCCCAATACTATTTCGGGGGTTCCTGACTATAACTATTGTATGATTGGCTCCAAAAGCCTATTCCAATTATTAAGGGCCCTATACTAACTAGAATGGCTGGATAAACTGATCATCCGTTGCCATACGAAAGCGCTGAACCCTAAACCCTTAACCTGTATATCGTAAGCGTGCGTGCCTGATCATCCGTGAAGGTTGACTGGGTGGGAGAAAGCTATGTGAAACGGTACCCACCATGACGCTAGAACTCCCGAAGGGTCCATGTACTCATATAGTATATACTTAGGCCTTAAAGTAATTAGTCTTTAAATATAACGTGTGCAACAAGCGCAGCCACAGCCGCAGTCAGCATGCGATGCGGAAACGGTAGTGCAAGCCTGGCAGCTTCAAAAGAGGCCTTCCGAATCTTCAAGGTACCAGGCCGGCTATTGGAATCCTTGAGTAAAACGTCCAAACAAGAAAGCAAAACAAACAAACCTGTTAGCACCCTCAACGCGAAGCCTTCAACCCGAAAACATTCCCTCTGAACACCAACACCCAAACTTCGAAAACTCAAATTTAATCCTGAACCTGTGTAAAAGGGGTAGGAACAAACCACAAATCAATCCACGGCAGTTGGCCTCTAACCAGAAGGCATACTCGCCAATCATGACCACATGGCTCTTCCTTCACCATCGGCTGAAGGCATGGGATGCATGGTTGCGAAGGTTGAGTGAACATCTTGGTGCTGGAACACATGCAAGAAGTAATCACGGAAGCAACAAACTCAAGGGCATACGGCGCCTAGCATAGGGCGGCTAGCTACCTAGCTAAACAGCAGAACGCTCCTGAAACAAAAACACCTGCTAAAGACCAAGTCACCTCGAATTTCTTCGACTTCGATGAACGACGAGGTACGAAACTCGTACTTGCAAAACTGAAGGTTTGTCACCCAGACGCACACAACCTTTCAAGTTTTCCCGCTCATGGTCTCACGTACCCAGATCCAAAAGCACAACCCTAGAAACACGGGTGTCCTACGCTCCATATGATACAGGTCGGTAGGGGCCTTAGTCCATTAGTAATATAGCGGCCTTAACAATTCGAAGAAGGACTTGGGGCTCCTCTTGATTTAATTCTAACAAGGAACCTCTGCAAAGTAGTAGTAGGTGATTATTTAGGCCCCTATAGTATGCGAGTAAATTTGGAGCAAGCAGCGCCGGGGAGCAAGCTGTGCATTTCCCAGGCTTCTATTACTAGGCTCAAAACGCTGAACCCTCATAGAAGCCGACCGCGCGTGTTGCCCGAAGGGTCCCCATAACAATACTGCAGCTACGTAGATATTTGGGCCCCAGAAAGTTGATACACATCTATACCATTACTTGGACAATCCATATTTGGACCCCAAAAGTGTATACTTTACCATACTCTTGCTTGGACAACAAATGTTCGCAGTCCTTCTGAGAGTTTCTCGCTTGGCGCACTTCGGCACGCTGACTGAAATCGTCAGCGAAGGAGAGGCCTGGAACTGGGGGGAGGGGGGTTAGGGCTTCCCTAGTTCATGGGTAGTTATAAGGGCTCCTTTAAGGGTCCGTTTAAAGGGATCTATAGGGATTCTATAAGGGTTTAGGGTTTAGGGCTACTTGTTTAGGGCTTCCCGTAAACCCAATAAGCCCTGCATTGAATAATTCACCAAGGTACCTCAAAAAGAGCGAAGGTCCCATTTTTGTGGGTCATACCCCTTCTTGAAGATACTTGGCAGAGTTTAGGTGTTTCGGGTTTAGGGCTTATAACGGTTAGGGTTTCGGGCTCCCTCAAAAAGGCTAAAGGACACTACTCTACTACTGACTAAGAATGCTTCTGGCTGCAAGGAATGCGGCTTGTGGTTTCTTGCGGGCTTTCGGGTTTTAGGATTCTTGAGGGCTGTAGGGTTCAGGGTTCTAACTGGCTGGAGCTTTGCGGTTTCGGGCATTACCTGATACTCAATTAATTACTGCTGGTTAAACATTTGAATATACTGACGACAGGTTGCCATTGCTGACTGCTGCCAGTGCCATAATATACATATGTATATATATATATATATATATATATATACATACATATGTATATATACACATGTAGGAAGTAAGACTGCGACGTCACGGGTGTGGACACTACCCTTCAACTTCTCAGTGACAGCATCGATACTTCTTTCTGTCTGACCTCGTGCCTGCCACTATTACATTGCAACCATAATATGTTGAGTACGGATGTTCGCGTCTACGACAGTTCGACGAATCATATCGATATGATTGATCCTAGTATGCATGCACCCATTAACTAAGATTTGACATCATAAAACTCAAGTGGCAGCGCTAGCAGACCAAATCGGTGGTCGCGGCTGGTGTAGTAGTAGTAGTAGTAGTAGTAGTAGTAGTAGTAGTAGTAGTAGTAGTAGTAGTAGTAGTAGTAGGAGTAGGAGTAGGAGTAGGACTAGGAGTAGGAGTAGGAGTAGGAGCAGGAGCAGGAGCAGGAGTAGAAGTAGGAGTAGTAGGAGTAGTAGTAGTAGTAGTAGTAGTAGTAGTAGTAGTAGTAGTAGTAGTAGGAGTAGGAGTAGGAGTAGGAGTAGGAGTAGGAGTAGGAGTAGGAGCAGGAGCAGGAGCAGGAGTAGGAGTAGGAGTAGGAGTAGTAGTAGTAGTAGTAGTAGTAGTAGTAGTAGTAGTAGTAGTAGTAGTAGTAGTAGTAGTAGCACTAGTAGTAACAGTAGAACAGTAGCAGTCTTCTTTTGGCAGTAGTAGCAGGAGCAGCAGTAGCGGTGGCAGCAGCAAATCAGACAACAGTCTTAGTAGTCCTAGTGGCGGTGCTGGAGGTGGCAGCAATGGCTGCCTGTATTGCCATTGCCTTTGCAATTGCTTTGGGAGTCGGTTGTCGCGGCAAACCCCTGTGCAAGAGGGAACCGGCTTGCTTCTGAAAAGGCGCCGATCTCCGAACACAAGGTTTTCACTGGATTGTTATGACCATCATGCCTCGTCGATGCTCGGGGAGGTCGGTGGCGGGCTGCCCCCGGCGGAGTCCGTACGCTGTATCCGCCCACGGGGCGAGGAGGCAAGCTGGTAGGTGGTGTAGCTGGACCACCTAGGGGCTTCGGTAGAAGCTAAAAACTTTGGGGACATGTTTCAATATTCTTTGCTACAAGTGTACGAAGCAATGCTAAGCAAGAGTTTATTAACTATTCAGGGCCGTATGTAAGACAAACGTCGTCCTGTTTTCGCGGGGCAGTTGATGCGATTATTGCAACAGCCAGACTGTCGAAACAAGAACCCAGAACATCTGTACGGGAGGGGCTTTCATAATTTCAATAGGATCCGGGGGTATACTATACTATAATCATCATGGGGCGCCCAGAAGGAATAATATGGGTAATCATGCCCTAGGGCTCCAGTTACCTGAATTGTAGGTTCGTGGGGTATACAATATTTTTGGGTGGTTGTCAAAATTAGGGTCCCTTTTTGGGTACCGGAAATAAGAGGTGCCGTATTGTATTAAGGACCCGAAAAGGGACCCTCATTTTGACAACCGCCCATTTAGGTATCTGGAGGGTTAGGGATTCAGGCTCTACAGTAGAAGCCCAAAAGTTGGAAACCCAATAGCCTCAATCCTTAAGAGTAATGTATGGGTAATCCCAGCACTATTTGGCCTTAACCCGGTTTCCAGCTTTTTGGGGTTTACTATAAATCGTAGGTTAGTGAGGTATAAAATATTTGGTCAGTAACCTATATATATATATATATATATATATATATATATATATGTTTCGGTATCTGGAGGGTTAGGGATTTCAGGCTCTATATTAAGCCAGGCAGCGGGTCGTTTCCGAGGCCCCATGGGTCAGGGGAGGCTTGTCGGGGCGGATTGCCCAACATGGCTGCCCCCTAAGAGCCCAATATCCTTGAACTGCTAGGGTTGAAGGGTTTAATGGCTTCAGGGTTTAGGGTTTTGGTGTTTGGGGGATCCCTGAAAATGACGATACGAGAATTCGAAGTGCAGCAGGCCTGCCTAAAGCCTGACCTATCTTAAACCCGACTCCCGAGTTCACCCGACCTGTCTAGAACTCCGTCAATAGGCCCCAAGACCTAAACCTGTAAACCCTATATCCATCTAACCCTATATCCTTTTTCTCTGAATATTGGGCTCTTCGGGTGGACCAAGCCGGCGTCCAGATGCGACCTGAGCCAAAGCTGGTCAGATGTGTCGGAAGTCAAGCCTAAGCTCTAAACCCTAAACCGAGGTTCCCTAAGGATTTCTTGAGGGTTGCATAACTCTGTAGGGTTTGTGTTGAAGGTAGAACGGTTTTCCTAAAAGTTCTACAACTCGGTAAGGGGTGCTTGAAGGGCGGTAGAAGGGTTGGTCCAAGGGCTCTATAACTCCTTAAGTCTTCGTGATAGAAGGGGTCCTCTAGGGCTTCTGCAAGGGTTGTAAAGTTCCCCTAAGGGTGATAGACGGGCTGCGTTAAGGGTTCTATAACTCTGCAAGGGGGGGGGTCCGGTAAGGAATCTACAAGGGTTATATTAGGTCTCCATACGACGGTTGTATGGGGTTCAGGGTTAAGGTAACCCTAAACTCTGAACCCACGGTTTAGGGTTTAGCATTCCTTCGAAAGCAAATCAGCAGATCGGTTAACATTTTACGGTTCCAGGTTTCGGCTGATGGCTGCCCGGCTGAAAATTGAAATTTTCGATGTACGATGCCAGAACTCGTCAGACCATAAGAGATCTGGATTTGTGTGTAGAAATGCTTATGGTTCGAATAAACCAATACTGCAGAACCCGCGGGCTCCGGCGTGTTTCTGCGCCCTCCTTTGCGTTACGTGGACTAGTGATTCATTCCCAGGTTTCAGTGGCAGATGCAACGAAGCCAGGTGTTGCACTCGGTATTCACTCAGGCACACCTGCAACCCAACATCCATGGTTGCTGACAGAACCTGAACTACAAGTACACCCCCGAGCTGCTCGTTCACCCTCGAAATCTCACACTTCCTGATACGCAAGACCAGTAATCGGCTCAATGTAACCTCGACTTTCAAACCCTACATGCATAGCCCTGAAGAGACAAGACTAATATAGGGGCCTTAATAATTAGAATGGGGTTTTGGGGCCCTTTGTACTACATCTATACTATAATCAAGTAACCCCCAAAATAATATGGGTAACTATTCAAGCCCCTGTAGTACCGCGCCCACACCCAAGGATCGATGCTCACTCGATGCAACCCAGCAGCCGCAGTACTCGGCAGGCCTTCTTTGGGCCCGCCGGATGAGACAAGCTGGCACAAAGCTTCCCTTCGACTCCGAAAAAGGATTAGGCTTGCTAGTTACACGATTTTACCCATGAGCAGGTGCTGAGGTTTGGGCCCTAGGGTTCTTGCCAATGAGGGCAATGAACCTGCAAGGGCTACACCCTGAACCCTAAACCGTCATCGGTGCTGTGCCCATGTTCAGTTTGTCTGATATCACTGGCACCGCTGCCATGGTGGCTCGAGCCAACACGCGCAATAAAGTGTGTAAGTGACGAGAAAATCAAAACGCCTTCAGTTGGCGAAACTTGCATTGAAGCTCACCCTGGGGTGGCAGTAACAAGGGGGTTTCCGTCTCAGGTCCGCAAACGGCTCGGCATCTTCAACAAAAAAACTCCCAGTATAGTTCAGGGCGATAAGATACATTGAGAACAGACACACACACACAGACACGCCGTATGTTGCAGGCTTAACTTTGACTCGTTCTCACAACTTCGTCGACGGACAAGGGCCAGCGTACTAAGGAAGAGGCGTCTACGACATCAACCTCCCGATGCCACAGAACGAACAGAAATGTCCCCTGCAATTGCGCCAGAGCTATGTAGAGACTTCGTCAACCAGTTCTGACAGGATCGCCCCCAAACCCTCAGCCCCAAACTCCCTTAGCCCTAAACCTTCGAAGCACTGAAACCTAAGCTCTGAGCCCTCAATCTTAAACCATTGACCCCAAAGCCTTGAAGCATGAGCACTGATCCCCTAACTACACCCGAAACCCCTAAACCAAACCCTAAACCCCCAAAACCCTCAGCCCTAAACACCAAAAAAACCCACAACCCCAAAAACCCAAACCCTAAACCCCTGAACCCCTAAACCCTCACATACCGGGCTCTCGAGCCCGCACGAAGCGTGCGTCTGCCGGCAACTCTGGGATGCAAGCGACCATGGCTGCGAATGAAAAAAGGGTTTAGGGCTTAGGGGATAGGTACACTAGGGTCCCTTGAAAGGGCTATGGGTTCTAGAGGGCCTTAAAAATAGGGGCGTTGATCAAGGGGCCTTTATCAATCAATGGATCGGGTTTGGGGGGCATGTTGTACTATAAACGTCACAGGAACCATGAGAGCCAAAGGGATAACATCGGCAAAGTGTTCGGCTTGCCTTGCTGAGGACCTTGTAGGGATTTGTTAGACTTAGTGCGGCAGCTTGTTGAGGGTCCTTGTTGTACTGCGATCCAACTGAGAATCCCATGTAGGGTCATGCGAATGGTAATACTTTTGCATGACCCGTAAACCCAAAACCTGCGTGCTGCCATAGCAACCCTTACAACCACTGGTCATGCAAGTACTTACCTTTGGTTAGTAGGGAATGAAGGAATGGGTACTATTATACTATATATTACTATCATTCCTTCATTCCTTACTAACCAAAGGTAAGAGTATGCTTCTTGAGGCTTCCTCGCGCCTTACCTGCGTGAGGCTCCTCTCCAACTTTCAGCTTGGACAGGAGGGCAGACCTCAGGACTAAAAGCTTAAGAACTTAACGCAGGAGTAACAGTGCTCCCTTTGTGGAGTCTGGCGCACCCTCCGGCTGGCATACATCCTTGCTGTCACTCGACGGTGAACGTTGAAGACAAACATGCCCACTGCCACGAGTTCTGCAAGAGAGAGAGAGAGAGAGAGACAGAGAGAGAGAGAGAGAGAGAGAGAGAGAGAGAGAGAGTGAGAGAGTGAGAGAGGGACCGGCAACGGTGACCTAGACCCTGAAGATAGAATCAACCTTCATCACCAGAACTTCGGATGTGTTGCAAATCTTGACGCTCGTGTTTAGGCTTAGCCTTTGTGGCTAACAGACTGCCACAGAAAAAAGAACAAGCTCCGAAAGCCCTGTCGAAGACTGACGAGCCTAGCACCCCCAGGCAAACACCCAGCCTCAAACCCCAAACCTCAAACTTAAACCCAAAACCGTCTCATCCTCGGCCAAGCTGTTCGGGCCCAACATTGAAATCGGGGCGTGCCTGGGACCGTCCGCAGCATTTTGTGCTGTTGGAGACCCTAAACCTGCAAACCCGAGTATCAAAAAACCTGTAATGTAGTTGATGAAAAAACATATTACAGTTTAGTATAAATGATGTAACATAAGGAAGCTTCAAAATGATACAAGGTAGTGTTCTCAATCATGATATAACAATGTAACAGAATGTTATTGTAAAGTGACATATAAGATTCTCAAGCATGATGCAGCACCTGATGCCCTGACACCCGAACTCCTGGCCTTCGGGCTCCACGGATTTAGAGGCGTCCTGTATGTGGGTGGTTGTCAAAATTAGGGTCCCCTTTTGGGTACTTAATACCCTAGAGTATATACTAGACCGGCACTTAAACCCTTCGGGACATATGGGTGGTTGTCAAAATTAGGGTCCCTGTTTGGGGTCCTTACTATAACACGGCACCTAAGATTTAGGGTAACCACGAAGGGAGCCTAATTTTGACAACTACCCATGTCTTTGTTGTTGGGACTGCATGCGCTTCCAAATAATAGCCGTTTTATAATAGGGACCCAAAAAGGGACCGTAGTTTCGACAACCACCCATATACAGCTTACGATGAAGCAAGACAGAAACATCGGGCCATCCCCGAAGCCGTTCTTCTGCTTCGGTTGAAGCTGGTATGCGCCAACAACAAGAGGCTTGCACTAAACGACACATCCTGACAAGTTCTGCTTCTCCTCTTCCCTACCCCTAAACCCTAAACCCTAAACCCTAAACCCCTAAACCTGGGGGCTCGGCATTTCGCTGCCAGAGGTTTGTCGAGCTGAGAACTGTCGCCTTGTGCGGCTTTAACCAGCTTAGGGCCGACAGGCCTGAATCGGGGTGTAGGGTTTGGGCCTTATGGGCATGCCACTGTGTCGGATGGCCGTTGTGGTAGTCGTCGTCATAGTCGTAGTAGCAGTGGTAGTCGTGGTATTCGTGCTAGCGGTGGTGCTGGTGGTGGTGGTGATCGTGGTGGCGGCGGTGGTGGCAGTACTGGTGATGGCAGCGGTGGCAGTAGTAGTAGTAGTAGCAGTAGTAGCAGGAGTGGTAGTAGTAGTAGTAGTACTAGTAGTAGTAGTAGTAGTAGCATACCACAGCAGCAGCAGCAGCAGCAGCAGCAGTATGAGACCAAATTCCCTGAAATGCAACAGCCCTAGCGTCTGAAAGCCCTCAACCCAAAACACAAGCCCGGATCCTTGGTCTGTATGTCTGAACTCACACGGTTTCAAGGCTTTGTGAAAGATGCTCCATATGAAGTACATGCTTGAAGTCTGGAGCCACCTCCATTCCAAACTGCTGACCCTACTGCCAAAAAGCCTACATGCAATGCAATGTGCAGCCAACGACGGCCGTCACTGCGCTGGAAATCCTGCCTAAACACCCGGAAGCATCGAAGGCCTGCTTTTCAAGACCCTAAACCCTAAACCCCTAAACCCTAGACCCCCCAAGCCCCTAAACCCCTAAACCCCTAAACCCTTAAACCCCTAAACCCCTAAACTCCCAAACCCCCAAACCCCTAAACCCTAAACCCCAAAACCCTAAACTTTCTGGGCCCCTATGCCCCTTCGAAGCCCGAGGCTCGGGAACCCCAATTCTGAAACCTTC